AAATGGTGAACATCAGGAAAGAACTGGATGTGGCTGTGTCCATGGGGTCACACAATGGTTTGGGTTTGAAGGGACCTCAAAGTTCACCCAGTGTCAGCCCTGCCATGGCAGGGACACCTTCCACTGTCCCAGGCTGCTCCAAGCCTTGCCAAAGACTGAACTTGATCACTTTGGAGTTCTTCTCCAAATTTAATAAACTCTGTAACCCATGTTCGCATCAATCCCCTGGATCTGCCTGATTTCCATGGGGGAAATCCACCCCACACAGACCAAAGCTTGGCTTTCCAACCTTTCATGTTCCTGAGAACCCAACATCCATTTGCCATTGGCTTTGATGTAAAAATGTATCACTGGGATTAATAAACACAGCATGCTCTACTAAACTTTTATAGATTTTAATGTGAAACTAATAAAAGGTGCCATTAGAAAAAGCTGCACTTGAAAAGCCATTTCATAAAAAATCTTGTAAAAATTCCTTAAGGCATTAAAATCTCACTTCCTAAAAGGGAATGAAATACAACAGGAGGGATTGGACTCCAAGCTACGCCAGTTTGAGGACATGTAGCAAAAACCCCATGTGATTTAATCTTCATGGGTATTGGGAAAACAAAACAAAACATTTCTTAGAACAGCAATTCAGCTCATTGAGCTTCAGAAATACTATTTTACCATTTTTTTACTCAATATAAGCCAAATGTACAACTCTTCAAATAGAAAATGTACCACCTCCCTCTAATACTTTGTTTTATGCCTTGTGAGCATCTTGTTAGCTCCTAAAATATATTTTTACTCCCAGTGGCTCCAGCTGAAAGGTTTAAGCCCTGCCAAGGGTTGTACAACAAGATTTACAAAGAAAGAGGAGCCGTTTGTGATAATTGACTGGAATATTTATGAAGCTGAGGCCTCAGGTCTTTCAAGGCTCTGTTGGTCAAGGAAATTCAGCTCTGTCTTTATGGCAGTGAGGGCTCTAAAAGAAAAAATTCAGGAGATGCTGCTGGAATTCCACCAGCCTGAAGAAAAGGAGGCTCGGGGGGGACCTTGTGGCTCTGCACAACTCCCTGCCAGGAGGGGACAGCCAGGGGATGTCAGGCTCTGCTCCCAAGGAACAGGGACAGGACAAAGGGAAACGGCCTCAAATTGTCCCAGAAGAGGTTTAGGCTGGATATTGGGGAAAATTCCTTTACAGAAAGGGCTGTCAAACATTGGATTGACCACCCAGGGCAGAGGTGGAGTCCCTATCCAAGGAGTTGGGAGCAGTGGGAGCTATGGGAGAAGGTACTGGAGCAGGACTTCAAGCAATTTGGGGATGTAGGAAGGCAAAAAAAAGGCAAAAAAATTGGGAATCACCTCAAACATTTTTACATTTAGAGCAAATTATGGCAGTCTATGGTGAAACCACGAGACAGAGGCTGAAGTATAAACTTATCTCTTCTGAAATTGAGTTGTTGACACCTTGTCAAAAGCAAAATTGTTGTAACTTCCCAATGCGGTGAAGTTGGCTGTAAATTCCGAGGAGGAAAACGGATCCGTGCATTTCATCCCTTAAATAACATCCTCATGTTTCCATTGGTGTGGTGGCATGTTACCCTGATTTTTTTAAGATTTTCTAAGCTTTCTGATGTTTACGTTCTTGTAACCAACTTTCTCACACACTTTATGTAAATAACTTACTGTTTTGCATTCTTGTATAGAGGAGGAAAATTTGGTAGGCTGTTGATTTGTCCAGTGTCATTGGAGATGACAATTCCAAGGAGGAAAACAGATCCGTGCATTTCATCCCTTAAATAACGTCTTCATGTTTCCACTGGTGCGGTGGCATGTCACCCTGATTTTTTAAAATTTTCTAAGCCTTCTGATGTTTACATCCTTGTAACGAACTTTCTCACACACTTTATGTAAATAACATATTGTTTTGCGTTCTTTTATAGAGGAGGAAAATTTGGTAGGCTGTTGGTTTGTCCAGTGTCATTGGAGATGACAATTCCAAGGAGGAAAACAGATCCGTGCATTTCATCCCTTAGATAACATCCTCGTGTTTCCATTGGTGTGGTGGCATGCCACCCTGATTTTTTTAAGATTTTCTAAGCCTTCTGATGTTTACGTTCTTGTAACCATCTTTCTCTCACACTTTCTGTAAATAACTTATTGTTTTGCGTTCTTTTATAGAGGAGGAAAATTTGGTAGGCTGTTGGCTTGTCCAGTGTCATTGGAGAGGTGGCACTGTCACCCTCCAATCCACTGTCATTTTTGGAAAACTATAAATGTTAGAGTCAGAAATTTTAAAACTCTCTTTTACCTTGCACGTCTGCACTGTGTTGTTTCGTGTCCTATAGTCCTGAGAACATTTAGGAACGTGGATTTTTGTTGCCACCTAATTCCACTGCTGAGCTAGGGAGCAGAAAAGGGCACACGAGGTCTCCTGCTGGCATTTCTGGCCATTTTCCACAGCCAAGGATGTCCTGAGGGCTCCCAAATCCTCCCGTCTTGGGTTTCCCCCGCAGCAGCTGTGCCCCCTGTGCCGGTGCCCAGCCCGGGGCTGGGGGAGCTGGCACGTGCCAGGGGGTGGCACGGAGCTGGGGGCTGCAGGGGATCAGCAGTGTCCCGGGGGAATGAGGGAGCAGCCGGGGCCATGGAGCGCTCGGGGAGCGAGGGAGGCTCCACGGATGAGGAACGCGGATTTTCGGGGAGCAGCTCCGAGGAGGAGGAGGAGGAAGGGGATGAAGGCCAGGCAGTGTCCGAGTCAGTGCTCTCCTCTCCTCCCTATGGCCACAGGGGGTGGTGGGGCACTGCCAGGAATTAGTTAATTAATTCATTAATTAATTGTCAATATGTTCTGTTTTACACATCACAATTCTAATATCTCCTTAGTGCTGTGCTGTTAAAATAATTACTTGTATTTAATGCACTTGCAGTAATTAAACTACCTGTTTTTTTACCATTTTTAAACCATTTTTACTATTTTTTAACCTGTTTTTTAACCATTTAATGCAGTATTTTCACTTATTGTTGCATTGGTAGTAGTTACTTTTGCCTTTAAAGCTGTACATTTACTGGGAGTAACCTCTGCATTTAATACTTTGCACTGGTAGTAATTACTTGTTTCATGTATTTACTAGTAATTAGTTTTTCATTTAATGCTGCGCACTGGGAGTAATTACCTTTGGTTTTAATGCTCTGCATTTGTAGTAGTTATTGTTTCAGTTAATACCATGATTATTTGTTGCATTTAATGCCTTGCACTTGTAGTAACTTCTTTGTTTAATGTCTTGCACTTTTAGTGGTTACTTTTTCCTTCAATGCTTTGCATTTACCAGTAGTAACTTCTGTATTTAATGTCTTGCACTTTTAGTGGTTACTTTTCCCTTCAATTCTGTGCATTTACCAGTAGTAACTTCTGGGTTTAATGCTTTGCACTTGTAGTAATTATAGTAATTATTACATTTAGTGCTGTGCCCTTATTGTAATTACTCTTGCATTTGGTGCAGTTCGTGTGTAGTAATTACTTCCTGCAATTAATGCCATGCACCTGTAGTAATTCCTTCTGCATTTAAAGCTGTGCACTTCCTAGTGGTTAATTTTCCACTGAATGCTGTGCACTGGTAGGAATGGCTCCTGGACTTGTAGTAATTACTCATTGCTCTTAATAGCATGCACCTGTAATAGCAACTTTTGCACTGAGTTCTGTGCACTTGGAGTAATTATTTGTTGTGTTTAATGTCACCTACTTGGAGTAGTTGCTCTCTCATTTAGTGCTGGGCACTTGCTGGTGGTTGCTCTTGCCTTTAATCCCCTCTTGGTAATTTCTTTCGCAATTAATGCCTTGTACTTCCAAGGTTTCATTGGCCTTTAATGCCATGGATTTCTGTCCCTGCCTGTGCTGCAGCTGCTGGCCAAAGTCACCTTCTAGAGAAGGATGGATTAACAGAAAATAACAGAAATTACAACAGTCCCTTCTGCATCTGAATACCTCATTTCCAATTTTATCGAAAATGTTGGAGCTGAGGCCCCCAATTTTATTGTATTTTCCTGGTCTGTAATCATCTAAGTATACAACAGTAAGCAAATAATTTCTGTGATCCATAAATTTACAGGGATAAATGTCTTTTTGTGGCATCTGGGATAATGGGACAAATGTGTTGAGTTTTAATGGGAATTAATGGACAACAACAAATTTGAATTCTCATTTTAATGGATCAATATATTGTCAAAAGCTGGCTACAGCAACTTAATGAGGAATTCAATATTATCCTTCCTTATCCTCTCTGTATTTACCCAAGTTTTAGGAGTTAATAGAGATAATTATCCACTGCTATTCCACTACTCCTTTCTCATTGCTTTAAATTAGCACAATGTGATTTATCAGTGAGGTTAATTAGCAGGAATACACACTTAATTCCAGTCCAAATAGACTCAGAATCAGCATTTCAGCACAGGCTGGAGTATTAATGTATTTCTGCTTGCTCTGCTCTTAAGGTATGAACATGAAGAAATTAAAGTTAATTAATGATGACCTCAGAGGAAGAATGCATGTGCATCACCCTTTTTTAACCTTATTCCTCTTTTAATGCCTCCAGTCTTTAAATGGGAATTTCTATTCCTAACAGCACCTGTAAATCTGATTTTCTTCCTCACTGGAACCTAGAGTGGTGTTCCAGCCTAAATGAATGAGGGGTGTGCAAAAGAGGGGTGTAAGTGACTGTAATCCACTTAACCTTTGGAACATGGAAAGGTTGGAGGAAATTGGGATAAAGCGAACCCAGAAAATGCAGCACTGACTCTTAAACACTGGAACAACAAATCCACCTGATTAAAATTAATTAAATTGATTATTTTTATTAGTCTTGGAATTCTAGTCTTTTATTCGCCTAAATGGATGATGAAAACAGCAAGAAAAGCTGTGGAAGCCAGCAATTTGTCCTCAAAGTGCTTGGAGAGCCCTGTGTGTTGGAAATCAGAAGATTGCCATGGAAATAACTGGAGAAATGTGTTTTTTCTTGCAGGGAGGATGTCAGGACAGCCAACGTCATCGCAGCTGAAGCGGTCACTTGTCTGGTCATAGACAGAGAGTAAGTTCCTCCTTCTGCCTGGGGCTGGTGGGAAACTCCAGTTTAGACCTTTCCCAGAGTTTAATGAGAACCTTGGATCATCTTCTCCAGAGCGGCTTCTTAATTTGAGGTGATAAAGTCACAGAATTGACAAATGGACGGAAGGTGCCCCTAAATCATCGAGACAAAACTCAACAGTGACAACTGGAAAACTCAACAGTGACCATTACAAAACTCAATAGTGACAATTAGAAAACTCAACAGTGACAATTACAAAGCTCAATAGTGACAATTAGAATCACAGAAAGTCCAAATGGAAATAAAGGAGGAGCTGGAATTACTGTGGAAATTCCACAGCATTTGCTCCTGGTGAATGTTGGAGCAAGGTATTATCCCAGTCCATTTGGAGATGGAGAGTCCTTGGGAGAAGGCCACAGCCCTGCTGGGAGCTCTGTCACTCAGAGGAGATGCAGGAGATCAGAAGAGTAAAATAATAATTTATACAGGAAGCTTGAGAGAATTAAGGGGGGTTAATACAGAACAAAACTGTGCCTGGAAGCTCCAGTGCTGCAAGTCCAGCTGCTCTCTGCAGTTACTGGGAATGGGATTTAAAAAATGACATAAAAATTGAACATGATTCCTGGGCTGGTTTTCCTGTTGTGCAGCACTGGCACAGATTAGAACAAGGTATGGACACTCCCAAGATGATGGGAATCTTTCCATGGGAATGTGCTAAGGATCTGTGAAACCCACAGAGAGGGTGAATAGAATTTCACTGCCTCCCCCCCATGCAGGAGCCCCAAGAAACCTGCAGGAGGGAGCCAAAAACTGTGGAATAACTATAAAAAATTGCTGATGTTGGAAAAGAAAATAAATCCATTGGATTTTTGAAGTATGTAGGACCCACCTGTGGGTCTGGAGAGCAGTGTGGATAGTTGGGTGTCTGGGCAGGTCCAGGAGCTGGATCCATGATCCTTGCGGATCCCTGGAAGAAATTCTGGAGCCCCTCTTGTGTTCTGGTGAGAGATGGGATTCTGTCCTCCTTTAGGGCTGGTCTCCATCCCCTCAATCCTGCTGGGACACCAGTGGTTTGTGTTATCTCCCAGGCCTCTATTTCTGGAAATCCAGCGTTCTGTACTGGCTGAGCTGGGGAAAATCTTCAGTAATCCTGATAAGTTCTGATTTATGTTAATTCATTCTTAATTGCAAAACCCATGGTCTGTCCATTGAACACAAATGGGGAACACCTGAGGGCTCCTTTCTCAACCCTGTAGGTAAAACCTCCACCCTCCCTTCTCATGCTGTGGGGCAAAGAGAGGAAGAAGAATTTGATAATATTTTGATAATCTTTATGCTTTTAATAATTAGATAATTTAGCAGTCATTAATTCAGAGAAACAAAAAGCAATGAATAATTTACACTTTTTATTTTTACACTTTTGCAGCAGGTATTTTTGGTTTGCACTGTGAGAGTTAAAAACCCCAAATAATTCAAGTCACCCATTCCTGATAATTCCCCAAACTGTTCCTTTCCTTGTCTCCTGTGCCTTGTCCTCAGCAGTCAGTGCCCTTGAAATAGTGAGGAAGTACAAGTTAAATTTAAACTGATGAAGCTGTGGTTAATCTACCTCAGAGATTCTATTAACACTGTGCAATTAGCAGAGTAACACTATTTAAAAAATTCTTATTTATAGGGCAAGAAAAGTGACCCTATTGGTGGCCCTATTTATAGCTCAGAGCAGGCTGTTCTGTGTTCTGGCCAGGGCTGAATTTCATGTCCCAGCTCTTCCTTAGGCTGTTATTTTATAGGAATGACAACAGCAGGAGCATCATTTCATGTGGAGATAAACTCCCAGGACTTGTGGCAATTTGGGAAATTGGTTGAGGAAAAAAGAACCAATTTTTATATCCAGACAGAGGAAATTTTTACATCTTTTGAGTTGTGGTGGTGGATGAGAACATGGAGTGACACAGGAGGCGGCAGTGGGAGCAGGGAGTGGGTGTTCCCTGCAGCTGGAATTTGTTCCCTGCAGCAGGAGGTGTGACACAAGTCACTGAAGCTGCCAAATATTTTCCTTTTCCCAGACATGCTCTTTGCCTAATCAGATGGAACCACTGAAGCAGCAATTTCCATGCTCTGTGGGTGTCCCCCATCTGAAGCAGCTCAGCAAAACTGGTGTTGCAGTTTCAAAAAACAAGTGATGGGAAAAGACCTTAACACATGGGATTCCTGGAGAATTCCAGCCTCGCTGACCAGCATCACCCACTGGAATTATCTACAGCAGGAGAACTCTTCCAAATTCCTTGTGGAAGGCTTCCCAAGGCATCCAAAAATTGTTCCAGCTGCCACATCTCATTAACAAAGTCCCACCTTGGTGCCACAGGAAGTTATTCCTAAGGGAGGCATGAGCCTGGCTCTGGATTTGCCAATATTCCCAGCAATTTTAGGGCTGGTTTAGCTGCTGCAGGGTTTGTAGTTTGGGAGTGAATAATATTGAAAACTTTCATCCCAGGGATTAGCCAGGAGCTGTGGGCAAGTTGGGTTGGAGAAGGGAATTGCTGAAGTTGAATTTGAGAAGGGAATTGCTGAAGTTGGGTTTGAGAAGGAAATTTTCTAAGTTGGGTTGGAGAAGGGAATTGCTGATGTTGATTTGGAGAAGGGAATTACTAAAGTTGGGTTGGCTCTGGAGTTGCCAATTTTCCCAGCAATTTTAGGGCTGGTTTGGCTGCTGCAGGGTTTGTAGTTTGGGGGTGAATAATGCTGGAAATTTTCATTACAGGGATGAGCCAGGAGCTGTGGGCAAGTTGAGTTGGAGAAGGGAATTGCTTAAGTTGGGTTTGAGAAGGAAATTGTTTAAGTTGGGTTTGAGAAGAGAATTGCTGAAGTTGGATTTAAGAAGGGAATTGCTTAAGTTGAGTTTGAGAAGAGAATTGTTTAAGCATGACAAGGGGGAATGCTTTGCCTAAAAGGATCTCTGGAATTTATAAAGTATGTATAAAATGGCTACAGGGCTGAAGCAGCAGGAGTGGGAAATACCACGAGGGAAGTCAAACTGGAGCTCATGATGGGTCTTTAATTACCAGATGATGTTGGTGCTGCCATGCTTTTTAATTTCCTTGTGAAACAAGAGGGCTCTTCCAGTCTCAAAAGCACCCCAAAGACTCCCAAAAAGTAGTACAGCTATTTTTGCCGATCTAGGAAGATGTGCTTTGCAAAGTGCATTTCCAGCATCCTTTTCTGGTGTAGGAATGAGCAAAATCATGATCCAACAATGAAAACAACCTGCAGGAAGCATTTGTTGCATCCCATGGACTTTGTTCCCACTTGTCCTTGTCCTGAAAATATTTGTTACAAAAAGCATTGGTATTTTTTCCATCTTGCAGTTGTGGTTTTTGAGTCCCTTCCATTACTGGAATAATGAATTTCAGTGGGATTTGGTCCTTAATCCTCTTAATCCTTCCCTGTGAGGGTGAGCAGGCCCTGGCACAGATTCCCAGAGAAGCTGTGGATGCCTCTGGATCCCTGGAAGTGTCCAAGGCCAGGCTGGATGGGGCTTGGAGCAGCCTGGGATAATGGAAGGTGTCCCTGTCCATGGCACTGGATGGGATTTAAATTCCCTTCCAAAAACTCAAACTTTTCTAGAAATTCTATGGTTCCCATTGGGAGCACCATTCATTTTGGTCCCTCGAGGAAGAAAACCAAAAAATTGTGTAGTCCTACCTGGTCAGGTATTTGGTATACAAATATTTTGGTATTTGAAAGAAAGAATTTGGAATTCAGACAAGGAAATATTCCAAGGAATCTCCCATTATCATCAAAATTTCAACACAGAAGAGGAGGTACAGTAATCCAGTAGGGAAAATGAAGTGAGAGGGTGACAAGGCTGAGGAAATGGGGTGACAGCCCTGTGAGGGACCACAGCAAGGCTCCATGCTCAACCTCTCTGATGAGTTGGGGTTGATGTATCCAATGTTTTTCCTGCCATGGAGCACAGACCCAACCACGGGCTTATGGAATTGCCTTGGAAACTTCAACAAATTCCACACAGCCTTCATGGGAATTGTGACAAAAAAGGCCAGCTGGATATCTGACCTTCTGAGGGAATTTGGGTACTTGAGGAGCCACACAGCTCATTGCAGCCCCAGCATTTCCTGCTGCTCAAACCTCCACTTTGGGAGCACACATTAATATTTTACAGCACCTCTCAGATGGCTTTAAGGCATTTTTATTTCCAAGTAGTTTTGTTTGTTTGTTTGTTTGTTTGTTTTTGTTTTGTTTTTTTTTTATTTACAATTCATGGACTTTCTGTCTTTAGGACTTGCCTTGACCCTGCAAGATCAAGGCTGATGTTAATGAAGTTTTTCCTGTGGTGGCACTGCAGGAATTCATCCTCTGGGAAAAAAGTTACTCTGGGAGCTGCTCGATGGTGCTGCCTCCAAATTGTTCTGAACTTGGCCTTGTCAGAGCTCATCCTGGTGAATTTCCAGGCTCCTTGGAGGCGTTATTAGATTTGTTCCAGAAGTACATTTGGGGAAAAGTTAACAAATATGTGCTGGATTTGATGGATTGGTCCTTTAGGAACTTGTCTGTAAAAGGTCTTCTGATAAAAATGGTGCAGACACGCCTTGAGCATCTGTTCTGTGGATCAGTTGGAATAAAGATGCACAGACAGACTTCACTTGCAGCCCCTTTGTATGGAGAGAAAACAGGAGGGAAAGGCTCCAAACTCATTCCTGACGTTTGGATCATCACTGGCACCCTCAGGGACAAGTTGGTGCCACTCTATAATTCTTTTTTTTTTTTTTTTCACACCTACCTCTTGAAACTGAGACAGTGTTTGAAAGTGTTTGTGGCTGCTCCTGAACTGTCGGAATATTTACACCGAGGTTGATTCGGGTTCATCTTTTATTTATATGTGATTTTTTTTCCCCTCCATATAATTTATTTATGGTGCCAACAACGTTTTCCTGGAGCTCGGAGATTTAGCAACACTGTGGGTGTTGGGAGGACAAAATTGCCTCATGCAAATGGAGAGAGAGAGGAGCTGATGGATCAGAGCCAGAACAACTTAAAGCCCAGCTGCTGCTGACAGAGACTTACAGAATTACCTGGAATTTACTCCAAATGCTGTTTTTCCAGATTCTTGTCTTGTTCAGCTGCACATATCAATAGGATGCATAATTTTTTAAGGCAACACTTTAAATATTTCAACTATTTTCTGCTTTTCCACTTTGCATTTCCCATTTTTGTCTGTGTTTCAAAGATTTGGTTTGGTTTTTTTTTTCAGGGAGGGCTGTGAGGTGTCAACAAAGGTTATTGGATCAGCCCTCCTGGCAAGGGAAATTGGAGAAAAATGAAATAAAAAAGTATTATCCTGGCATGACTGACCCCATATAAGCTGAGCCGAGCTCTTTCAGTGGAGATTTTAGGGTTTGCTGCTCTGCTGTTTCTCCCAGTCAGAGCAAAGTTTATCCATGGAGAAAATTGGTTATGAGGAGAGAATAGAAAAAACGAAGAGAAAAGGCCAGGGGGAGAAAAAACCCCGAGCAGTTTCTGATTGAATTCTGGGACTGAGCTGAGACTTCAACAACGTTGAGATGAGCAATAAAAAAAGGGACTCAAGTGAACTTTGATAGCTTGCCCAGTGCTAAATCTGGCTTAAAAATTTTAATAAAAATTAAGGGGTTTAGAGAAACTGTTGTTGCTCCTTTCAGTGACTTTTTCTTCTTTGCTGTTTCACTGGAAAAGATTTATTTGCATTGCCAAAAAAAGGGGGTTTTTAACCCTGCCACATTTTCCTAAGCAAATCAAGCCTAAATCACAATTTAGGCCTTAGGTGATGTCTTATAGCCTTCCAGGATGGTGTTGCTGTGTTAATTAATTGCCTAAATACCTATTTGGAGTGCAATTAGGCATTAACACCCCAATCCTGCTTTTGTCTCATTGTCACCTTGCTAGGTTTGGCTTCATCCTGTGGCACATTCCCAGCAGCAGGAAGATAAAACTTGAGGTGCTGAAGGAGCTGAGTTGTTCCTATTTTCATTGCTGAGCAAGGAATTGGGGGTTGAAAAGTTACTCCCATTATTAACATGTCCTAATAATAAAAATATTAGTAATTAGATTGGGTAAAACCCACTAACATGAGTTTATATGAGAGCAAAGGGTTTGTGCCTTCTCTTCCTCATTAATGAATTAATTAATTTGCTTGCAAAAATGATTTCTTTGATTGTATTATTTAAAATATAATGAATTAAACTGAGTGAAAGACTGGGGAAGTTGGTGTGGGCAGAGGGCATTTCCTGAGCTGTAATTCCCAGCAGAGAATCCCAGGATGGGTCAGTTTGGAAGGGCACACAGTGGGCAGCTGGTGGCACCTCCCTGCTCCAGCAATGTCAGAGCACAGGGTTGTGTTCACACAGCTCTGGAATAGCCCCAGAGAGGGGAATTCCTCTGGAAAAGCCTTTCCAGGAGCTCCAGATCCAAACCAGCTCTCCCAGTTGTCACCTCCTGCCCCACAGTGATGGGGAAAATCCGGCTTTTTCCAACAGGATCATTGTGCCTCCCTTGGTTCTGCAGTAAGTGCCATCTCCACACATCCATGGGGTGCATTCATAGGGTCAGGCATCTCCTGAAGGACTCTCTTGGGACTGTCAGTGTGTCTGAGCCGCCCAGGGTCCCACTGTTCCCATCCCAGGCACACTGATTATCCCAGCTCACCCTGTGCCTGGCAGGACACTGCATTTCCCCAGCTGCCCTGGATTTCCCTCACCTGCTCAGTGCCATTCATTCTCTTTGATCCTACAAATCCTCCTTGAGAAAGCACCATATTAAACATCCTCTTCTTATTCCTTATGTCAGAAATGTGGCTTTTTCTTTTATTTTTTTCAATGTTTCAGTTCATTTTTTGTCAACTTAGAGCAATTTCTTTTCTCGAGCTCTGTGTTTCGTGCCTCAGGAGTGTCAGGAGCACAGAAGAATTGCAGGATTTTCATTTGTGAGGCTGTAACATTAAGGCAGAGATCAGTCAAGAGACTCTGGCTTGCAGCAGTTCATCTTTTCAAATTCTTCTTCCTTGAAAAAAAGAAAACCTGTGTGGGATAGACCCACTGGGAATACTGGAATTGGATAGTTAAAAGTAGCTTTTCACCTGGAATATTTTTGTTTCAAGGCATTGACTGATTTCAATTGGTAATTTCTGGTTTTTCATGGAATCCCAGAATGGTTTGGAATGGAAGGGATATTAAGGGTCATCCTGTGCCACCCCTGCCATGGGCAGGGACACATTCCACTGTCCCAGGCTGCTCCAAGCCCTGTCCAGCCTGGCCTTGGGCACTTCCAGGGATCCAAAAGCAGCCACAGCTTCTCTGGGAATTCTATGCCAGGGCCTGCCCACCCTCCCAGGGAACAATTCCATCCCAAAATCCAACCTGAATTCCCTCTCTTTCAGTTTGAACCCCCTTTGATGTGTTTTTGGATGCTTTTTTCTCTAAAGATGAGAAAGCTGGGATCCAGAAGTGAAAATTTCACTTTGGAAGCAGAGGGATTGACAGGGTTCCTGGTTGGAGAACAGGGATGTGATTGTTGATGTGCCCCCACCAGCCACTTTTACCCTGAAACTTCTGCTGGAGGGTGAAAACCTTCAGCAGCCCTTTCAGTGCACTAGATAAATAATTTTGGATCTTCTTGGTGTTGGTTTCCACATCTCCAGCATTCCTGAGGCCTGGGCCTGGTGGGTCACCAGCATGGAGATCCACCCCAGATTGCTGCCAAAAAGCCACACTGGATTTCTTGGCTCCCAGGTGGAATCTCTTCAGTTTCAGTGGTGGATCTGGTGGGACTGGATGATCTTCAGGGTGTTTTCCAACCTTGGTGATTCTGTGATTTTCCTCTCAAAAAGTGTCCTTTTGTCTTTACAGCTCCTTCAAGCACCTGATCGGGGGCCTGGACGATGTCTCCAACAAAGCCTATGAGGATGCAGAAGCAAAAGCAAAGTAAGTGCTCAGCATCAAGTCTCAAACTTCTGTTTGTTGAATTCCACTGGAATTCCCAAAAAACCCCTCCTTGTTCTCCATGCAATAATGCCAAACAGCTTAAAAAGGAGAGATTCCTCCTCTGGATGGAGGAATTTTCCTCCTCAGGTCTCCCTGGTTCTCCCCATGAATATGGAGATGGGTCTCCTCCAAAGCCAGGTGGTCCCAAGGTCCTGCTCAATCACAATATTTGAATCCAGAAATCCTCTTGAAATATTGAGATGAGAAACACATTGTGAGGTGAGAAACTCCAGATCTTGGAATTGCACTTGAGGGAATTGTCGTTGAGGGAATTGTTGTTGAAGGCATTTCATTTCTTTAGAGAGCTCTGACCTTTTCCAAATACCTTCCAAAGTCAAACATGTTCTGAGACAAAGGATGGGCAGTGGAATTTGTCATTTGAGGATAAAAACTAGAGCTGCCTTGATGTGAAGCAGTATATTAATCTGAAGTCCACAATAAATATTCATTCCTTTCAGAAGGGAGATGTAGAGTATTAGATTAAAATATTTTTAAACCCCCACACTTTTTATTAATTCTTGAGCTGCAATTTGATTTTAATCTGTAATCTTTGAGCTCTGATTCTATCCCAATGATTAAAGCTTTTTAAGAGGATCCTGTTCTTCTTTGGGAGATGCTCAATATCAACCAAACACAATTGAAAGGCAGAAGTTGTTGAAAAGAAAATTAAATTTGCTCTATACAAAATTTCTTTACTTTTGCTCCCTCTCAATTATTTTGCTTTTATGGGGATTTTTTTCATAGCACATTAATGAAGGGGGGAAGTGTTTTCTCAAAGTCAAACACTCTGAGTGACTGCCTAAATTGCAGATTCCAATGGGGTTGTACATAGAAACTTCTCATTAGGCCACAGGGGTTGGAATGGTGTCTGCTGAAGGTATTGGGCACCTCTGTGGAGGGAAAGTGAGAATTCCCAATTAATATTGATTAAAAATAACTCTTGGTCTGTTTCAGAAACTAAGATCCATCTCAAAAGTCTTCAGTTCATTAGCAAAAATCCTGCAAAATACCCATAGATTATTTCTCTTTTCTTGTGTTTGAGTGATGTTTGAAATATCTAATTGATTTTAAGGTATCTAAAGAGTTGCATTTTAGATTGGAATAATATTTCTCTGCCTCAGATCAAATGTAAGATTCCTTCTTATAAAGAGTTCCATTCAAAAGGTTAAATTCCCTAAATTCTTTTTGACTCAATTAAAAAGATGGGAGACTATCAACTTCCTTTATCATCCCCCCAAAAAAGGGGGTTTGGGGCATGGAATGCTTCACATAGATGATCCCAAACATCCCATGATCATTCAGTTATTATTTTATATTAATTTTTGAGTGTTTCTATTTGGGTTATATTGATTTCCATCAGAGCAGAAGGGAAGAAAACATTGGGAATAACACTGGGGAATTTTGGGTTGGGTCATAAACAATGTCATGGTCACAGAAGGTTTTTGAAGGTGCCACCACAACCCATTAGCACCAAGAAAAATGTTCCCTCCCCACATGTCTAATTTTAAGCTCTATTATTGAGTATTTATTATCCCAGAGACGTTGGGGATGCAGGTTGAGGAGATTTTGAGGGTAGTTCAGGGAATATTAGGATCTGCTGTACAATGTGGGGGAAGCTGCAGTTTGGGACCTCTTTGGAAGAAACTCTTCCTTTTGGGAGCCACTGGGTTTTCACCTTCACATTTTGGAGCTTTCATCTTCTCCAGTCCTTTCCTTCTAATGCCAAGTGTTTCATCCCAATGGAAGGGCAGGGCCCTGCTGAGGGAGGAATTGTTCCCTAAAAGGCTGAGCCAATTAATTTTCATAGCAACTTTTTTATCTTTAAAGTCAGAGGCCCATGCTGGAGCCCTGTCACTGCAGAGTGGGGGTGCCAGTGACATTATTGTCACATCTTGACATTGTGCCTCAGACAGAGCAGGAGGGATCAGTGTTGTCTGCCTGGAAAAACATCCAAAAAAATGAATGCCCTATTGAAAAATAGAGTATTTAGCAGTTAAATTCCATATTCCTGTTTGCTGGGCTCCTTGAAAACCAGCAGAAGGATGGATAGAGGCGGGAAAAATTGTAAAGTTCCTCGGGGAGAGAGCCCAGAAGAATTGTGAGCCCTTCCAGAAAGTTTTGGTGTTCCAGAAGCAAAACTCCTTGGGAGAAAAGTCTCCTTGGCAGCAAGTTTAACCTGGATTCCTTTGCAAGCAGCAGTTAATTAGCTCCAGCTAATTGTCCTTCAAGGGCCTATTTTTTTCCAAGGGAAGGTTTGTGGTAGGGAAGAACTAGGAACATGAAACGTGGGCAGGTTTGTGAGGCTTTATGCAAATCCCATGGAATGTTTTTGCTTGTCTTTTTTTAGCTCCCATCTCCTTTTCAGAGCTCACTGCCAGCTGGGAAAAGGCCTTGGGATGCCTCCTGTGGATCAAATGGATCAGGATGACCAAGGCCAGCTTGGGCAGGATTGGTGTAATAGGAGGTGGAAGAGGTTGGGCTTTGAGGTCTCTTCCAACCCAAACCATTTTAGGACTGTAAATGCTTACAGAATTAGTGGCACTGTGGGTTTTTCCCCATTTCCATGCTGGAGCACATCCCTGGAGTCACAGAGCTCAGGGCATGGCTGAGAGGATGTTAGGCAGAAGTTACAGGCTTGGAATATCTTTCCATGTATCCATCTGTCCTCCAGGCCTGGAGGAGCTGAGCTATTTATTGAGTTTATTCTCATTTTAGAGGCGTTTTCCTGTTTTTTGTTAGCTTGGGGTTGACAGTTCCCTTTAATGTCCATCCTTGGTGTTCCCTCTCTTAAATCAGCAATTGCAGACACATCATCTGTGAGACCAAGATTTTAATTGTAGGCTATGATTTTAATTATAGGACTGTGCAGACTATAATATGAATTATAATATTCTACTCCTTGAATGTATTCAAATGACTTAATGAATTAATTAACTAATGGATATTATAATTGCCTACTGAAAAGGGAAGGAGAGAGGAAAATTTGCTTCATGCTCTGAGGAAATGGGAGTCCTGAAGACTCCCAGGGTCCCAGTGCCAGGCCCAGCCACGGTGGCATTTAGGGCATGAAGGAGATGCCCAAATCATCAGGATTATCTCAGTGTAGGTTGCTTCCAGATGGAGCCACTCCAGCAGCTTCCATAAATCCAGGAGGACGCAGGAGGGTGGCTTCTGCTGCAGCTGGTGGTGCCAAGTGGGGCGAGGTTCAGTGACCCCCTTTGCTCAGGGCACACCAATCCCTCCTGCTGGGCTCATCCCAACCTGGGAACTCTGGCATTGATCCTGTGCAATTATTGGACCCTTACCAAGGCTGGAGAGGTTCCTCCCTATCTGGTGGTACAGCCACACCACTGAGGTGTCCCTTGCCACCCAGCTGGGACAGCTGCCACTGCCTGGCTGTGCCCAGCTGAGCACAGCCCCCAGATCATTGTTCCAGTGCTCCCATCACATTCCCAGCTGGCTCCCAGTGCCCATCTCCTGTGGCAGCAGGGCTTGGGATTGATCCCCAGCTGAAGCCTTGGTGTCTTGAGAAGGCTGACCTAGAACAGAGCTAAAGAATAAAGCAGGGATTTATTAAAAGAATCTCTTCCATGGATCCACCTTGGGCAGCACAAGAGCCCAGCCAGGGCTGCACCCAAGGTGAATCAAAATGGGCGCAAAATGGACACCCGGTCACAGAGCCTGTCACTTTGATCAGTTCTGCTCCATTTGCATCTTGCAGTTAATTGTCCAATTACAGCTTTAGGTTATGAAGTCCCAACCTTTTCCTTTTTCTCTCTCCAGCCCACGTTGTTTGTGCTCTTGGGCCTGAGATTTGGATCGTTTGTCCTTGGTCCTGAGCTAGAGGAGGAATTGTTTTGTCTCCCTGCTCTGTGCAGAGAGCTCACCATCCCTTAATGTGAAGCTCAGACCCACACACTAAAGCAGCACAGACTCTGAAAAATATAAAAGCTAAACCTGAGGCATCAGAATAACCAACAAATAACCTTAAAATATTTCCCAGCTTGGCTTGGCCATGCTATGTATTTGTATTTTAAGCAGTACTAAGACTTTGTTAGGGTGAGGAGATGACAACTTTGCCTCCTGCTGCCATTTTCTACCAATCCAAAACACCCATGGAAGGAGCTTGGGGAAGAGTTAAAGCAAATGGATCCACCTTGGGCAGCACAAGAGCCCAGCCAGGGCTGCCCCCAAGGTGAACCAAAATGAGCAGAAAAAGGACACCTGGTTGTGGGGTCTCTCACTTTGATCAGTTCTGCTCCATTTGCATATTGGAGTTAATTGTGCAATTACAGTTTTAGGTTATGAAGTCCCACCCTTCTCATATTTCTGTCTTCGCCATTGTTTATACTTTTTGGCCTGGAGCTTGTAACAGTTGTCCTTGGTCTCAAGTTGGAAAAGGCTTGTTTTGTCTAACTAGCCTGTGAAGAGAACTTGCTGACACTCCATATGAAGCTCGGAGTTACACACTAAAGCAGCACAGAATCTGAAAAATATCAAAACTAAGACTTAAGGCATCAGCCTGGACTCTGGTGCCTTCATGCTGTTGCTCCAAGCTCTCTGCAGGTAGAGGTTGTTCTGACTGCACTTCTCCCTTGTTTTATTTGCCATTCCAGCTGTATGGCAGCCCTGGGGGAATGTCTGGATACTCACAGCCAAAATCAGCTGCTTTTCCCAGAGCTTGAGGGGACAGGAACCTTTATTTAGTGTATGATGCCTTTCCATGTCCTTGCAGCCCTAGAGCCCTTCATCTTTCTGGAGCTGTTTTAATGAAGAGCTTCATTAACAGTTGGTCTCAGAGATCTGAGAGCTCTTTTCCAACCTGAATGATTCTATCCAAACCTTCTGTTTCAATCCCCTTTCCTAGTCCTCTTTTTCAGTCCTTGAGATGTCCTTTTTTTCACCTTACACCCCCTCTCTCACTCCATTTATTCATAAAA